CATGCCCTTCGCAGCGATAAACTTTCGTATCAAGTTTTTTTTACACTGAAACTTTCCTGTCAATTATCACAAAACATCTTTGTGACAATAGTGTTTAAGATGATTAGCGTCCTGAATTTAACTCCCGCTAGCTCTCCGAGGGTGGCATGGTACACCCAGGAGCGAAGAAAAGAATCGTCGTTAGACAAATGGGATGTTTTATCTGGCATTACGACTTTTTATTTGAGTCCCGATTATAGCGGATGGAGGATGTCTCCTTTTGCGGGGGATAAAACGATCGCGTTCGTGCGCCGTGCTTTCAAATCAACGTCAGACGATCTGCATTGTAATGGTACAAGTTCTTCGAGCAATCGTTTTTCAGAAAAGTTTTCAGCGAAGGAATGGCAATTCGAAATAGAATGTCTTAATTAATAAAAAAAACGGATAAAATACTATTTCTCGCGAAAACATAATGGAAAAATGTATTTCCGATGAATCATGCTTTAAAAACAGAACACACAATTTATTTATAAAGTAAATATTAAAAAGCTTTTTTAACAGAAGCAAACCTTATTATATTACACTCGCGTTTTTATTTAAATTGCAGAATTTCTATTTTATTACGCGATTACGAGAACTACGTAGAACTTTTGACGATGCTACTATATCAAAATTACATCCGTCGGATCGAAGGTAACTTTAAACGCGTCAGTGATTGTTTGGCGTCATGATGGAGATATTACGTCGTGCGGCACGAAGCGAGATACGGCGCACTGACGACGAGGTGAAAAACGAATAAACGAACGAGCGCTGCTCCCTTTCTCTTTCCCGTCCTAACACGGTCATCCTAACTTCGTTAACCAGCAGTACACTGTTTGTACGGTAATCGTACGCAAAGCGAGAGAAACGGACAGAGGGAAAAAGAAGGGCGGACTGCCGCTATACCACCTTGCACGTCGGGGGCTCTTACGCGCTGTTTAACTTATCCATTTAAAACTCAAACACGCGAAACAATTAATTAGTAATTAGCGCTGGTCGGTAGCCAGAGCAACGGAATAGAGAAAGAAGAGAGAGAGAGAGAGCGGGGAAGGCAGGTGGACGGCTGCGCAGGTGAGAAAGGCGTTCTTCTCAAAAGATGGCTGTTCCACCACTCCCGAAAAGAAAGTATTGAATAGGTAGCAAGAGGCTTTCACGAGTGCAAGAAACTTTAAAGTTCGGAACTTTAGTTCTCCTGTTAGCTTCTAATTAGCGGACAAACAGCCAGCCTCGAGATACAGGCATCTATTGATGGCCTGCAGGGAAAAATTGTAAGTGTAGATGGTTACTTACTCGTCAACTTTTTATCTGGTTAAAACAACAAACCCGCTTAATTAAAGATAGACACGTCGAAATTATTTATTTCTACCGTGCGCTTCATAATCTGTCAATATTTTGCTACAAGTTTTTCATCCGCATATATCTAAAAGAATGAGAATGTTGCGAGAGGCAAATATTTCACTTTATTTTTCTGTTTACATCCGGTTTATATTCTGATCGCATGTTAATCGCTATAAACATTGTACTTTATAATGTTACACTCACCGGGGAATAACGCGATCAACTTGAGGGGAATTGCGCAATCCTCGTTCCTTTTCCCTCTTCGCGGTCCTCTTGCAGATTACCTGTCACTCCACGGCCAAATTAACTGCTACCTGACATTATGAAAACGTTAGCGTTACTACCTGTAATGTCACGCGTTCACTCACGAAACGACAAACGCACTCATGCCACAGGTTTTGCATGGACAGCAGCTTGTATTGGTCCTGAACGGCCGGGTCGGCAGGTTGGCCGGGATGGAGGTTGCCCGGGGGTGGCGAGTCGGGTCACCGTTGGTGCGAGGGTTTCAATATGCTTCGGCGGTAGTTACAGTACCCTCTCCGGACCACCGCAGATCGGTCTAGGCGGTGAACGGGCGGTGGGTGGGGAGGTGGTAAAGGAAGGAGGACTATCGTGCTGCGGTATCGGTCGCCTTGGTTATTTAGGAAACCATATCAAAGTTTGAGTTGGCTGCCTGCCGCTGCTGCTCACCCTCCTATCGGCGCGCCCCCGTCTCTGGACAATGAGGTCTCTTCCGGTCTCGTCGAGGTCGGCCTTGACGTTCGTTACAACGCCAAATAACGGTATCTGAAGCCGCTGGAATAGCGTTGGCATGTACGAGAAAATGCGTTGTACAAGTTCGCCGTTTGCACGGATTGCTTTCACGAGGTATTGAGAGTATATTCGCAGAATAGACACAATTTGTCCGGCAAAAATCTCTACATCGATTTAATTATGATGTTTTTCACGCTATTTCGCAAGTTATTGTACGTAATGTTATTTTGTGCAAGAAAATTCTGAATTGTGTACTCGACAAGATTTCAATTCGGAATAGATAAAAAGGTGTCAAATTTTTAGATTTATTTCTTGAAACATTTTTTTGGAATTAAGAACAATTTAAAGATATTTTCGAAGCTTTTCATCAAAGACAAATGTCGATTTCGATGGCGATACTTTTAACTTTTGATACGTAAAATAAAATAGAGAAGCTGATAAAATAGGTAGGCGGAAGAAAGCTCAGTTTATATCGCGGCTACTAAGTTTGCGCATTCCTCGCGGCAACACGCGGAGGACCAATGGAAGACGACGTGTTGCCGCAGTGAATTGTAGAGCGAGAAGAGAAGGCGGTTCTTCTAGTTTCCTGCCAGGTCCGCGGGTTCTTCAGGAAGGGTCTAGAGATTTAATTAAGGCAAGGCGACGGGTAGAAAGACGAGTCGCTACGTCGTGTAAACTCGAGCCCACCCGTTGGCCCCCTGTTCTCTCTTGTCTTCTGTCTCCGTCTTTGAAACGAGGCAAGTCAGTGCTCCTTTTCCTCGCCATTCGAGAGGTTTCTCTCACGAAAACTCGTGAGAACGCTGCACACGTCTGGAGCGTAGATCTTGTTCGGCCGAGCGTGTGCGTCAAAGTTCGTCAGGCCACTCGGATTTCCAGCGCCAGAAATTCTCTTCAAGAGGCCCATGTCTTATTGCGACTTTCGTAAACCTTGTCACGACGCGAAGACATTTCCACAAAGTTAGCGAAAGGTTTGATTAAACGTCAAAGGGAACTCGAAATTTATCGTATACCGTATGAATTCATTGTAATAAGAGCTTCCGAAAACGCTGATGGAACTTGCAACCAATTTTATATCGACGGCAGTATTTTAATGAGTGGAGCGAGAGAAGTAGAACCTTATCTTAAAGGAACTATCGCTACGTACGCGCCACGTTTGATCGATCGGTGTAATTATCTGTAAGATTATACGAAGAACTTTCTTCTTAGAAGCTCTTAGCTTGTGCTTCTTCGCGAGTGTTAACAGGCCGTCTTTCTTCATTCAAAGTCCACCTCGAGGCCAACGCGCGGGCATCATCTGCCTCGCGGTTTCAGCGTCAATAATTTGCAAAGGCTGCGGGGCAGGCTCTAACCGACTGATTTCACGCATCTGGCGTTTGGCGGTTTAGTCTGGCCCGGTCCGTGTTGGCTCCGGAGCGAGAGGATCGGCAAAAGATGTCGGGAACGAGAGGGAGAGAGAAGGTGAGAGACAGTTGGCGAGAGAAAGAGAGAGAGAGAGAGAAAGAGAGCGCGCGCGCGCGAGAGAGAGGACGG